CTTGCTTCCCTCCTCCTTGTCCCTCTCTTTCTTTTCTTCCTCCTCTTCCTCCTGCTCCACTCTCTCCTTATTTTGCCTTCCTGGCCACCATGAGGTAAACATGGCATTCCTAACACAATTACTATGCTATCACAGGGCGGAGTGACTTTCCTTCTCTTAAGTTGTTTAACTCAAGTAGTTTGTGACTGTGGTATAAAGTGGGTAAGGAACAGAAAATATTCCAGACAGCATTGACAGCTGACAATGAAGAGTGAAAAAGTAAGCCAATGTGCAGTAAAGGCTAGGGTATATGGATGAGAGAACTGCAGGTGATGAATGATTGCTTGACTTAACGGCTAAAACCATATGGGTTAGAATTCCAGGGCAACGTATCACTGGAAGAAGAGTTTACAAATGTATCATGCCAGACTTGAAAAGGACTGTGAATATGCCCTTATGGATCCATCCCAGGATGTGAGGGATGTCCTTGCTGCTGGACTTCACCTTGAGTACTTGGAATCCCAAATTCAGAAGCAGGAAACACACTGAGATGGACTTTAGTCCCCATAGGGAGCACAGAAATGCACAGTGATCCTGCATATTCTATAACATGAAGTCACATGAGAAGTCACATGAGTATCTCCTAAAGAGATCTAGGAGATAAGTTCAAATTGGGAGTTTGGGGAACAAAGTCTAAAGTATCTACCTGAGGTCTTTTCCTCCTTAACCAATAGGTTAAATGTAAACAGAAATGGAAACCTCATCTTAAAACTATGTGTAAGACTTTTCCAGAAATTTAGAGTGCTTAGATCCCAAAGTTTTGTTGAACACATCTGAAAACAATGTCTTTAATTACTTTGGGCTTTCCTTTCCCTTCCCACCCCCCCCCCCCTCCACAACCATATCATAGAGCCACGGTATGAACAAACTGAGCCATAGCTCAGCTACAAACCTGTTCCCAAGTCAGTGTTCGAAAATGCCTTTGGCATTGCCAAGACTAAAACGTTTTAGTTCAGTTCCATTTTTCCCAGAGGGAACGCTGATACTGTGAGAGGAAACTAGCTTGGGAACAAGGGTGCTTTCCCTCTGACACTCCCACAGCAGCCAGCATGGTACCCAGTGCTCAGGGATCTCCATTGACTGATGTGTGAACCAATTCTCACTCTCTGAGGGAAGAGAGCTGCTGGGGAGGCAGTTAGGATCACTGTCCAAGGCTAGCTGTGCGAAAGTATGAGACCCTGTCTGAAAACCCAGCTGAAAGGCGCAAAAGGGTGAGGGATAGTAGGACTCTTTTCTAGCAAGTCCCAGGCCCTGTGTATAATCCCAATTATCATAGAAGAAGAAAGAGAGGGAATAGGCAGAGAAGGAGAGAAGGTGGAAGGGAAGGAAAAATTATATAAATGGGATCACTTTCAAATGTTTAACAGAGTGGTCTACCAGCAGGGTGGACACATTGCTTTGTGTTCAAAGACAAATACAAGGTCAAAGCAGTGGCTAGTTCAGTCTGGGATCAGTCCTTCCTCTGGGATCAAGTTGAATGTTTTATTTGTTGTACATTTGGGCCTGGAGAAGAGTCATTCAATCAAGCTGACTTGTGGCACAAAAAGGACTAGTTCACCATACCTACTAATCACATAAATGTGGTTATGGAATGATATAAGATGGTTTATGAAATCATTTCAGAGCTCTTTTCAGCAGTAATTATAGCAGTCCTATAATGCCTTTCAACCAAGTGACATTGGCAAGAATCAGCCTAAGCATCTTTAATATTCTGATGAGAATCACACAAAATTACCACTGCAATAAAATGACAGGGTTGCGTTTAATTTCTTCCACTGCATTTCTTTTATATTTTCCCCTTTAACATTAAAACATACTTCATAACATTTCATCCTAAGAGAAGGCTGCATAAGTTTCCAGTTGCTGTAATATAGTTAAACCATAAAATTGTTTCCAGATTACCAACCATGAAATGGAAAGACAATCTTATTTATGAACTTATAAATCAGATAATCTCCCTCAAAGGAATCCGGAAACCAGAAACACTTTCATGATTAAACAGGAAGAGAAAAGTTTCCTCATTATCATGTGTCAACAGAGATATCTTTTTGTAAATGGCTTTGGCTGAGATGGTGAGTGCGCATGTGTGATTGATATGGGGTACCTTGTAGCTCCCACCATGCTCACTTGTCCAGCTAATCTGGGAGAGGAGGAAAGAGCATCACCCCCTTCCACAGACAAGCTCAAGTGTTTGAACTGCAAGGAAGATAACAGTGAGCTATCTGGCTTGAATTCAGGGCCTGAGCACTGTCCCTTAGCTTTTTCACTTAAGGCTGGTACTTGAGCCACACTTATACTTTCAGCTTTTTGCTGAATACTTGGAGATAAGAGTCTCATAGACTTTTCTGCCCAGGTTGGCTTCAGCTGTGATCCTCAGATCTTAGCCTCCTGAGTAGCTAGGATTCCAGGCGTGAGCCACTGACACCCAACCATCTGGTATATTTTGTCTCCTTCCTGGTGTCCTGTCAGTGACACAGCCTGAGAAAGACCACCCTGAGAGTGTTTATGTCCCAATCACAGTTGCTAAAAGGAGAATCAAGAGCCTGGATTGGACTAGACACAAGGCCTTTCCTCCAAAGCACCCAAACTGCAGTACACAGTCACCCCAGACAGTTCTACATCTGTGTCTAGACCAGCCCTGAAGAATATAGGAATGGAATGCAGTTAGGAAATGTCTTTCCCAAAGTCTTCAAATCATTATCACAGGCAAGCCCAGGGGAAAAGCCAAGTTACCCACTGAGCCAAGAAAGGTGCCAAAGGCACATTAGAAAACCTGTAGTCTCCCAGGTGAAAGTGACAAAGCCCAGACAGTGACATTCTGCAATTCTAGCTACACTGATAGCCAGGTGAAGATAATGTCCTTTATCCAGAGGTACTCTGTGCTTTACTTTGGCTTTCAATGCCACTGCTTTCCTTTGTTGAACAAGGTAATGAAAACTGTTGACCAGCACACGGCATTAGAGAACACTAGCTTAACCCTGATCAGCAGTGCCCTGTGGCAATCCCAGGATCGCCTTCTGTCCTTGGCCTCATAGCAGATTCTTGGTTTCTCTATAGCTACAGGCTTGTCCTCTCCCTTTGCACTTTATAGAATGTGGTAAGATGGCCAGCTTGTAGCCTTGAATGCAGCTTCTGTCTTAGGGTCATGAGTTTCATTCCAAGCACTGTGGCAGACAGAGCCAGCTCCTGTGAAACAATTACTCCCAGGGAGGTGATTCATTTCCAGTTTGTATGCATCCACGTCACCCATAGAGCAGACAGCGAGGTCACCCCCACCCCCATGGCTTCTGAGATACCATTGCAAACTGGGGGTCCATAAATCTTGTGTTTCTGAAGGTATTTTACTAACTTGCTTTCCTAATTTGAATTTCTAATTAACCTTTCTCTTTGACCCGTTGACCATTTATAGCAAGAGAAATGTAGGAGCACAGGTGTGACTGAAGATGCTCTCTGCTCAGAGGTTTACCATGCTGGGATGTCTGAACTATTTGTAGTCTCTGCATGGTGAGATGTCTCCCTTCCACCCCATTAGAAGAGAGAGATCAGACTATCAATACTCAATTGTTGGGCGGTGTGTTTTCCCCTTTGGTAGATTAACTATGCAGATTCTACTACGTATACTCAAGAGATTCAGTTCTGTGACAACATGCCTACTTTAAACCATACAAAGTAGACAGCATTCTGAAGTCAGAGCATGTCAGTGAATCATGGAATTACACGATTATAACCTTCACAAGGTGTAGAAGGTTATATTTCAGACGCAAAACTCAAGGCCCTGTAGCTTGAGAATGTTCTCTATTGCTGTGAAGTTCAAAATATCCATGCACCATCTATCAGTGAGCCCAACATCACAAGTTGCTCTATTACTTTTCCATTGAATACCAGGTAGAGCATTTCTGTTACAACTGAGAGGCCCAGTGTATGAATAGACTGTTTGTATACTGTACATTACTCACACTAGAGGCTTTTCAGGCTGAGACTTGATAGTGATGACCTATCTCAGGCTAGATCGGTGGCCACTGAACATCAGCTCCTGGAATACATTGGCTATATGTGATATGCTCATACTATACTATTTGAAATAGTCTCCCTTTGCTTTTTTTTCCTGTCTTTAACTACTAAGTATGTATACATAAGTTCATAAGAGATGATACAAGATACCACTTTTCTTAGTCCCTTACATTATTTGTATAATGTGTTTGGAGAAACAGTAATAGGACTGTGAAATATTCATTGTCTGAAGGCCAGAAATGTGAGCCTGATGTATCAGCAGAAAGCCCGAAAAGAGAGGTACTGCATTTTTTGTTTCTGTTTTTCTGTTAATGCCTTGGAATGGTCCAGTTGTTAAGGATATTCATTTTCTTGCCTGACCCTGTAAAATCCTCCAGACTAAAGTTTCTGTGGCATCCTCTATACCCAAACACACATTTTATCTTAGTCTTCATAAGACAGTTGTTTTGTGTTGCCCATGGGTCACGAAACACTACATATAACTATACATACAATCCGCATCTCCATCATTCATGCCAAAACCTGAAGCCTCCGACTGAGAACAGCTTTTCAGTATGTGAGTTTGTACAAGAGCAGGAGTGGTTCATCACTGGTCCTCAAGACAAGCCATTTGTGCAAAGTAAAATAACAAACACAATGCAGGAAAGCTCAGAAACACATGGCCTATGCACAGATTGGTTTCTGAGGAAGGTGTGGTTTTCGAGTCCTCAGGAGACCTCTGCCGCCTTGTGCAATGTCTTTCTTGTGAGGCCAAGGGCCTAATACCCAGCTCTGGACTCTTGATCTCAAGCCAAGGATTTGTGGGCTCTTCAGGTTTCTGAGCCAGGTTGGGGTGAACTTTGGTGGCCTGCTAAGGTGGTACCTGTTATCATCTTTAAGTAGATCACTCACGTGGAAAAACCAGTCTGAAAGTCAACAGAGGTTTAACAAACAATTCTCTTGTTTTCCAGAGAGAGGATGCAAGCCATGGAGAAGCAGATTGCTAGTTTAACTGGCCTTGTCCAGTCAGCGCTTTTTAAAGGGCCCATTACAAGTAGTAGCAAAGATGCATCTAGGTAAAAAATAAATAAATAAACAAACAAATAAAGCAAGCCATCCCACTTAAACAGTGATTCAGTCTGTTTCTCTATAATCATTAAGATGGTTCATTCATTCAAATTCATTTCCTCATAATCATTTCAAAGGCTGAAAATATTCTTGTCTCTACGAATCAGGGAGGTAGATGGGTTTTTGTTGCTGTCTTTGTTGTATGTTTGTTTTTGTTGGTTTTTCCTTCCGGTAATTCTTGGACCAAGGTCACACTTGGGCCCAAGAAAGGTAACTGAGCTTCTCGGTGCATGTGGCTTTGTGGACCGCCAGCTAGCTGCACGGCGCCTGCTCTCACACATGCGCACAGCGCCACCATCCATCCGAGTCACACTTGCGCTCTCCATCACAGTGCCAGCTCACATCTGGGAAGCCCTTCCATCTCGGCCAGTCATGGTGCTGAAGCCCAGTACCCTCATTGCTTACTTCGTCCCATCACTGCTGCTACTTGTGTAAACCAGTGAGTGGGAGGGGGCAGAAGCAGAAAAGGCATTCGGGGGTGGGGGCTACATAGAGCTGACTCTGTCCTTTTTCTTTCATCCAGTGAGAAAATGCTGAAGACCACGGGCAACAGAAGCCACACAGAGAGTCCTGGTGAGTGAGTATGCTTGGGAGCTTGAGGAAGCCTGCGGGTACCGAAGTGGCTGGCCTTTCCCTGAGTCCCCAGTGGTAATGCTCTGCCCTGTCTCCAGGTTCCTGCTGATGTTCAGATGCCACTTTTCATCATTCATGGGGCAAAAGCATTGCACTCTTCCTTCAGTTTTCATTCATTCGTTCTTTCGTTTACTTATTTATTCATGTAGTCATACGTCTAAGACATGCATGTGCCTGGCCCTGGATACAGTAAGCATGATGCACAGGGCTGGCTGCCTGAAACTTGGAATGTATGGGGAAGAATGGGGGTCAGGTGATTTTATGTGTGGCGAGTGTCGAGAAGCGCGTATCATGCTCCAAACCCCCTGGTTTGGGGAAGCTGCATCTGCTAGGTTTGTGCAGCCTCACAGAGTGCTCAGAATTTGGGACTTTGCTGGCCCGGCCCTGCTCAAGCCCTCACTGAGTAGTTCGTCTCCACAGCCAGCAGGGCCGCTTCTCCAGCTTTTGCTCAGAGATCAATACACAGCTTGGCTAGCACTGTAGAATTATTTCATGGCAATTGCTAAACTTTGTCTTTAGAACAACTGCCTGTTCATTCTGGGGAGAGTCATTCAGTCCCTTATTTTGATATTGATGATGAATGTAGGGGGAGGGAAGGAACTTCCTAAAGGCTAAATGCTTCCATCCCTGCGGAATCCAGGCCTGAAATGATTCATATCTGGTACCATTGCTCTCACCAGCCGGTGCATGCTGATTTCCACTTTGGTTGTTCACAAGAAGGGGTGGCATATAATGAGAGTGTGCTGTGTGCAGGGCACGGTGCTGGGTATTTTCATGTGTTGCCCTCTGAGCTCTTCAAGGGCCAGCTATCATTTTTATTCCCATGGTCCTGGTAAGGGAACAAAACACACATCCCCACCCGTGATCGGTGTCAGCATAACCTGCCTGTCATGTTATCAGTCTTGTGTATTAAGATGCTCCAGCCCCTTGAAAGATAAGTGGTTTTATTTCTTCATGTGGAAATATTTTTATAAATGTTCTTCTTGAGCAAGGTAGAAGAAGCAAGTGTCGCTTTCTTGAATATGTTTCCCAAAGTGGAGTCTGTAAGTCCAGAGGGACAGGCGGTAGCCCTGGGAACACAGGGAGCTTTGTCTTCCTGTAGTGCATTTTGCTCCCCATGTCTCTGGCAGGTTTGCTTTTTCTTCTCCCAGTGTATCCAGGTTAGACATTGTCACCCCAGCAGCCTTGAGCAGAACTCAAACAGATAATCCTTCTAAAATCTTAGGATAAAAGCTCCAGGACAGGAATATTACCCTGTGTTTGAGATAAATACACAGAATTTTATACACAGTCAAGGAAATCACCTGGCCAAAAGTACCCAAAGAGGGAAACCTGATTATATGAAGAGCTTGGTATTGGTGGATCACACCTTTAATCCTGGCAACTCAGGAGGCTGAGATTTGAGGATCAAGGTTCAAAGCCAGCCTATACAACTAACTACCAAAAAAGCCAGACATGGAGCTATGACTCAAGTGATAGAGCACTAACCCTTGAGCAGAAAAGCTTAGAGGCAGCCCCCATTCCCTGAGTTTCAGTCCCAGGACTGGCACAAAAGGAAGAAGGATAGAAGGGAGGGAGGGAGGGAGGGAAGAAGGAAGGAAGGAAGGAAGGAAGGAAGGAAGGAAGGGGGGAGGAAAAACATGACAACCAAGTTGTGTCAGATCCCAAATCATTGTTTTCTGTCACAAGGTACATGAAGCATCAAAAAGCACAGTTGCTAAAATTCCAACTAAGACAGAAGTGAACAATATGAATTTTCTGGCAAAGGTGAAACATAGGAAGAAAGTTCTGAAGGTGAACTTGAATCTCCTTATGCCCTCTTGAGCAGGAAGGAACAGAATATGACCTTGATGTAGCGGCTTGCCTCTCTCAGCCTCCAAGATGCCAGGTCTTGGGAATCTAATCTGAGCAAGGATCGACTGGAACCCCTTACCACATATCCACCTCCATCCTGAAACTAGGCTTCAGATCTCCCCTAGCTGCCCCCCACAACCCCCGCCCTCTGGAGCCCCTGAGACTGCATGGAGGAGGGGAGCTCTTTAAGCACTAGGTACTGGGGAAAGGCTTTGAGCCTTCCAGAGGATGCCTGGGTGCCTGACACAGGCTATATTGCATATGCTGACTGCATTCACCCACACACTAAGGCTGCCGCCCATTTCGCAGGTAAGGGTGGGGCAAAAAGAGATTCAATTGCTTGCCCTAGGTCACTTGGGAAAGTAAATACTGAGAATGCCTCCTAGGCTCGAAGGCGAGCCAGGGAGTGAATAGATAGGTTCATGGACATAGAAAGAGGTTTGGGGACACTGAGCAGAGGTGATGCACAGGACCTGCTTTAAAGCCATGGCCATGTGGACTGAAATCATGGCAGGGAAGCAGGATGTGAAATATCTTGGCCGGCAGCAGAGGAGGTGATCTCTAGAAAAGGGATTCCACAACTGGTGGAAAGAAGGCAGGCAGGGAGGGAAGGAGAGACGAGGGAAAGAGGGGAGAAGAGAGAAAGAAGGGGGGAAAGGTGAAAGAGAGAAGAGAAGATGGGAGGAGAAGGAAGGGAAGATGGACAAGGAGAAAAGAAAGAAGAGCAAGAGGGAGGATGGATAGAGGGAGAAAGGAAGGGAGGGAAGGAGGGAAGAAGAGAGAGAGCGAAAGCAGAAGGGGGAAGAGGAAACGTAGGAGAGAGACAGGAAAGGAAGAGAGAGGGAAGGAACGAAGAGAGGAAGGGAGGGAGAGAGAAGACAGAAGGGAAGGAGGGAGGTGACCAGGAAGAAGGAGAGAAGAAGAGTACGAGGAGGGAGAGGAGGGAAGACAGCTTCTTTGACCAGGTGCCATGCATGCCACGTCTAGCTGCTGTGCTCTGGCAGGAAGTTCCTAGGTTGGGACGTTTAGCTACCTGTACCCTCTCATTGTGTGACTTACTGATTTTCAGACTGGAAGAAGCCCCAGAGGCCTGTCTTGGGGTGGGTCTCATAGCTGACTCTCCTATGTCCTGAGAGCCTCTGCTGCTCTTTTCTTAGGAGCTGCTCAGACATCTGGAGGGAAGAGTCTAGGCACCCTGGAGTCCACGGGGCCTCCCAGCCAGCCCCTGCCTGCCAGCCCCTCAGCCATGCACATGAGCCTGCTGGGCATGAGGCGCAGTGTGGCGGAACTACGGCTCCAGCTGCAGCAGATGAGGCAGCTCCAGGTAACCGCCGTGCACCCGGCCTTTGCCCTGCCTCTGCCTTCTGCCATAACCCCAACCTGCAGCACCTCTCTCGGGTCTTTCTCCCCTCCTTTTCCTTGGCTGCCATCTTCATCTTCCTCCCAGAGGGCAGATTCCAAGGTGCTTCAGTCAGCCTAGAGGGTGGTGATGGTGATGGTGATTTGCAAGGAACTGTGATATGCTTACAATCATGAGTTGACAATAGAAGGTGATTTCATAAGACGTGTCTGTTAGGGGGATTGGTTGAGGAAAACATCTGCATGTAATTTGGATGGTTCTGTTCCAAGTGTTCCTACCTTGCTCTATGGTTGATGAATGACTATATAAACTATAGGGCAATGGTGGCGGGGAGAGGGGTCACCCTTCATGCCACAAATCCTGATTCACAAATCCCATATCCATGGGTCCTGAGGAAGGGCGTATTATCTCTTCAGGAGATCTTGAGTCTGCATCCTAGACCAGCCTCAAGCCCATTTTTGGCTGTTTTTGGTAGCAGCTGGGCCCAGAGGATAGTTATGGCTTAGAATGTACTCAGACATCTCCATAAAGCTCCCTTCAAGCTACTGAGGACCAGGTTCTCAGTACCTACAGGGGTGTCATTTCTTGAGCCCAAAGGGTACTTACTCTCAGGATAGAAATTTGAAGCAAGCTCTTATGCCCCTTGGCATACTAGTGACAAATCTAGTATTGTTTCACCCCCTACTAAACTTAAATGATTTTGGCTTGTTCTCTCTGCCTACCAAAAGACCACAAAAAAAAAAAAGGAGCCAAGAGTGGTGATACCTGCTTATAGTCCCAGAACTCAGGAGCCTCAGATGGGATGATCAAGAGTTTGAGCCCAGCCTGGGCTGCATGGGGAGACCCCATTTCATAAATTTAGGTGAAAGGGAGATGTTCCCTGAGGCCCTGGAATGGATCAGGAGGGTGACTGCTCAGTTCTCAAATCTCTCTGTCTCTAGAGTCATGTCCTGGACATCCAGGACAGTTGATGCAAATGTATTTTTAAGTCACTACCAAATCATACTATCCCTTACATCCCTTACATGGGCTTCTCTGCGCATTGCAACTTTTCGGTAAAAGCGACTTTGCTGTGAAATGAAACATGTAGGTTGAGCTAGGGCCATGTGTGGGAACCAAGAGCCAAATGCCTTCTGTGTCAAGTGAGGCCACAAGCAGGGACCAGGACAAACTGGCCCCTGAAGAAAGCAATTCAATTCAGATAGAAGCCTCGGCCTCTCTCTTCTAACTGGAAGCTACAAACACTGAAATACACTAGTATTTCAAGATAATCCGGAAATACAGGCTTATTGTTAGGAGATCATTAAGACTTATAGTCTGAATACTCGAAAGTCCGAAGGTCTTACCTGCAGGCCAGAAAACCTCCTTCAGCTGCCAGGTTCTTGTCTAGGTCTCTGGAATGAAAGGCCTCTTCCCACTGCTCCTGCCTTCTAGCGCCATCTGCTGGTTCTTTACAAGTTGTGCTCTCCCTGCTAGACCCTAGTAAAAGAAATGAATATATCATTTATATAGCAGTCCTTAATTGCCCTCAAAAGTAAGCAGGTTTGAGTTTGTAGACAAGGATGGAATTGAATACATAGAAATGTCACATTTGCAACTTGGTGGCTCACGTCTGTAATCCTAGCTATTTGAGAAGGTGGAGATTGGAAGGATTGTAGTTCAAGGCCAGACCAGGCAAAAAGTTCGCAAGACACCCTGTGTCGGATCTAAACTAACAGCTGGGTGTGGTGCTCACACCTGTAATCCTAGCTATTCAACAGGCTGCCATCTGAGGATTGCGGTTCAAAGCCGTCCTGGGCAAGAAAGTACAGGAGCCTCTTATCTCTAATTAACCACTCAGAAAACCAGAAGTGACACTGTGGCTCAAGTGGTAAAGTGCTAGCCTTGAGTTGAAGAGCTGAGGGACAGCACCCAGGCCCAGAGTTCAAGTCCCATGACCGACAAAAATAAATAAATTTACTAGTACTCTAAGTTACACAAGAGTCATCATGAGGAACATTGTAGTCTAAGACTAGCCCCAAACCAGTCTCCAGAAAAAGAACTAGAACAGAGAGAAGAGAGGGTGGGGGGAGAGGGAGAGAGAGAGAAGAAAGAACACTGGAGTATGGTTTTAGAGGTAGAGCACTTGCCTAGCAAGCATGAGCCTCAGAGTTCAAAACTAAAAATAAGCCGGTGGCTCGCACCTGTAATCCTAGCTATTCAGGAGGCTGGGATTTGAGGATCGCAGTGCAAAGCCAGCCCAAGGAAGGAAATCCAAGAGACTCTTATCTCCAGTTAACTGCCAGAAAACTGAAAGTAGAGCTGTGGCTCAGTGTAGAGCACTAGCCTTGAGCAAAAGAGCTCAGGTTCAGCACCCGAGCCCGTGTTCAAGCCCACCACCACCACCACCAACAACAACAACCAAAAAAAAGTAAAAATAAAGACATTAAGACCAAAACTTGCCATGCATCTTTCTAAGGAGGCTGAGGTGAATTTGTTACCATGGCTGCAATGTGGATGACCAGCTACCCCCTGTAGCTGGCTGGCACTGGCACCTGACTGGCTGGGAGAGGTCTTCACAGCATGCCCCCACCTTGATCTACCTATGAGCTATGGCTCAGTACAGGACAGTCACATTAGTCACCAAGTTCTTCAACCAGGTTCCAGCCATGCTATGGGAACCACACAGATTCCTTTAGTACTCCAGGGTGCTCAATTATTGGCTGGTGCTCTGGGAACCAAAGAGTATGCAAAAGAGGGAAATTAAATACTGTGTTTCCCCCTCCCCCCCCCCCCCCTTGATGCTATTATCTCTCTCTTGGCTTTGTATTTTCTATCTCCCAAGCTCCCCTCCCCTCCGGCTGTTGGCTTCTTCAGTCAGGGGAGTCTCTGTAAGGCAAAAACAACTAATAATAATTAAGCTCTGGCAGCACCAATTCTCCTTTGGCGGACTATTATTACACACCAAAAATCAGTGCGTCTCTAAAGTGATTATCACTCCAATAATGGAGCTATCGTCAGAGATATGTGAAGCTCTCTACAACAGTCTCCAAAGAACAAAAATTGAATTAGAAATTCAAATGTTCTTTGAGCTGTGTTATAAAATCATGAAAGTGAATGAAATCTTTTGTGCTTGGCAGCTAGCTCCAGTAATTAGATAATTAAATCATTGGGAACTCTAGACTGCAAGCGTCTCATATTTGAGCACTCCATTTGCAGAACTGGCGGGTTCCATGCAGGAATGGAAATGAGAATGCAGATGCAGAGGGTATGGAGATTTTCACAGGGCAAAAGGGACATCAAGGAGAAGAAGGAGCATAGTTACAAAATCAGTAACCAAGAGTCACCTACACACACACACACACACACACACACACACACACACACACACACACACACACACACACACACACACAGAGTCTGACTTTATGGTGTGGATTAGAGCCTACACTGCTGGTACTAGAATGTCTCATGATAAGATCTCTTGTAATTATGGTGTGAGGCTAATCCAGGCAAAATCAACTCAAGACCCTATCTTGAGCAAGCTAAAAGCAAAAGGCCTGGGGTTTAAGGCTCCAGTGGTACAATGCCTGCCTAGCAAATATGAGGCCTTGAGAAAAGAGAAGCAGTTCCGGCACTGCCAAAGAAAGGAAGAAAAGGAGGGGAGGGAGGAGGCAGGAGGAACTGTTCTCAGTTCATTAGGAATGTTCAGCCCAATGAGGTGTCGTGTAAAAATATTGAGGTCCATTCCGCTGTCACAAAGGGAAAAGCAGGGGTGCATGCAGTCCCAACTACCCTGTAAGTCTAGGAGACACAGTGACTGAAAGCTTCGGTGCACTGGCTAATCAGTGTGCCCTCTGCTGAGTTACATGTGGTGGCAGTGCTGTATGTGTAGCTCTTGCATGGGCTGAGAGCCCATGCCCACATGCCATCTGTAATTGGTCAGCAGTAGTGGAAAGGGCCTTATAGGTTACGAGGGCCTCCAAAGGGTGGTCATCTGAGTCTATTACCCTTCCTGATACACTCAAAATGATAAAAATAAAATTGTGTATGTGTATGCACACACGCACACGCACACACACACATGTATGCTGATCCCAGTTCTAGAATTCAGGGCCTGGGCTCTGTCCCTCAGCTGTTACACTCAAGGCAAGCGCTCTACCACTTGAGCCACAGCTCTATTTCCAGCTCTTTGGTGGTTAATTGGACATAAGAGTCTCTCAGACTTTCCTGCGTGGGCTGGCTTTGAACCATGGTACTCAGATCTCAGCTTCCTGAGTAGCTAGGATCTCAGGCATGAGCCACTAGCTCCCAGCAAAAATAAAACTTTCTGATGAATGCAACCTTCCCTCCAACCCCCAAATGCCCCAGCACTTAGCAATTTTGCCACGACAATCCTCCAGAGCCCCAGAAGTGACTGTACTTCTGTTCTCCTCTTTGGGCGAGGACAGAAGGATGTTTCTAGAAGATAACAGGTTCTGTGGAGGCCAGAGGAGATTGGCAGAATAGATACATCCTTCTCCTCTCTCAAATCCATAGTTCTTGCTTGCACTCCTTATTCAACTTCCAACTAGCTAAGCTTCCAATTATTTGGGACTTAGTGTTACATTTTTAAGATAACTGAGAATTTGCTCTTTTTTCCTAGAAGAGGGAGGATCCACACAGCAAAAGAGCCAGCAGAACACAGAGCCCTTGTCTTTGAAAAGCTAGTATTCAACAGTTACCATACTGTATCTTTTGGTAAAATGTTGCGGGGCATGAGAAATGTCCCAGAGTTTTAATCCCATGAGGGAGTGTGACTAACCCCAGAAAGAAGTTGCCCCGTGTGAAACAGACTTGCCTTCTCCCCGACAGGAGGAAATAATACATGGAACTACTAAAACTGTGGACATTGGCTGCTGAAAAAATTACCCAAGCCATAGCCAGATGTTTAGGGTATAGGCATCTGTCCACAGTAGAGAGACAGCAGCGCACACAACATGCCTCTGTGACCAGGTGCCCTTTGGTTTGTTCTCAAAGCCACAGGGAAACTTATCCATATGGCCAGGAGTCATTCTGGGGTCTGGCTGTCAGCCTGATTGGCGATATAGCCTCTGTTCAGTGTCACTCCCAGACAGCCGTATCAGGTCCACCCTCCTCCAGGCTGATTTACCTGAAAAATAGAGAATGAGCAGAGGAAGTACAAGTCTACTTGGAGATGGATGGAATTCGATTTCAACAGTTTTCTCCTTCATTCATGGACTTGATGTAGCTAACTCATTGAGTCCCGTTAAAATTTTAATGGCCAAGAACATTCTGTCTGCCTTAAGTAGGTTTATAAAAATGTCAAAGGCGCGTTCAACCAATTACATTCCCAGCTATGAGGGAGTAGTTGCAATTCTTCTTGTCTCCCTACTAGATAACTAGAGAAGTGAAAAATGAACAACTTTCAGACCTGGCATAACAGGTAACCCAGGATGTCTAAACAAAGCCTGCAGCTGAGCCAACTTCCTGCTGGAGGCAGAAGAACTACAAGAAGGGAGGGAGGGAAAGAGGACCGGAGGGAGGGAGGGAGGGAAAGAGGACGGGAGGGAGGGAGGGATAATCTGAGCAGCCCTGGGATCATCTTGCTGGGCTGGAGAGATAAGATCAAAGTGTGGAGGGCTGAAGCAGCTCCAGTTTGTGGAATGGAGTGCCAAGAAGAGGAAAACTCTGCAGAGAAAGAAATCTATGGGTCATTGTTGAGTAATAAGCCAAGCTCGTGTAGAATGAACAGACCCCTAAGCCAGGCAGAGGCCGGAGTCAGCTAAATATTGTCCAGACCTCACACAGGCCTGGGAGCTGTTTGTTTCAACAAACAAGAGAAAAAAATGTGACCTGTACCTAAGCAGTTTGTAAATGTCAGAAGGGTTATGCCCTTTTGTCCAAATAAGCATCTAGCTGGGTGCCAAAGGCTCACATCTATAATCCTAACTACTCAGTAGGCTGAGATTTGAGAATCATGGTTCTAGTCCTACCTGGGCAGGAAAGTCTGTGAGACTCTTACCTCCAATTAACACCCCCAAAAGCCAGAAGTGAAGCTGTAGCTCAAGTAGTACAATGCTAACCTTGAGCCAAAACGCTAAGGGACAGCACCCAGGCCCTGAGTTCAAGCCCCAGGACCAACACAAAAAATAAATTACTAGACATGTTAAGGATGTTGAACATGGTGACCTATAACCTTTAGAAAAACAACCAATAGAAACCAGCCAATATATAAATAAAAGAAAACATAACCAAGGGGTATGACCTCATTAACATAATAAAGAAGGAAAATGGAATTTCAATAAACACATGTGACAGAACTTTCCATTGCTAACTTAAAAAAATAAAAGCAAGCCAGGCATCAGTGGCTCACACATGTAATCCTAGCTACTCAGGAGGCTGAGATCTGAGGATCATGGTTTGAAGCCAGCTGGGCAGGAAAGTCCCTGAGACTGTTATCTCTAAGTAACCACCAAAATGTCCAAAGTAGAGCTGTGACTCTAAGTCACCAGGATTAAGCAAAAAAATCCTCAAAAGCAGTGTCCTGGCTCTGAGTTCAAGCCACAGGACCAGCGCATGTGTGTATGTGCACACACATGCGGGCAAACACACACACTCATGTTTATGCATCATTTAGTAGTATATAAAGGGGAAGAAAGTCCATTAATGTACAGAATGCAAATCATGGTGAAAGGCCACACACATTCCATAACATCGGGAGCAAGGAAGCCAAGGAAGTCTCCATTGTTTACAGTATTCTGCACATCCTGACTAAAATAAGAAGACTAGGAGGAGGAACAGACGTATGTAGAGAGGAAGTCAGAAGTTATAATGTCCTTACTCACAAAGGATATGGCTGTGCAAACATGAAATCAAAAGGTATTAAAAGCCTGGATGTGTGGTAGAATGCTTGCCTAGCATGCTAGAAGCCCTAGGTTCAATTCCTCAGTACCACATACACAGAAAAGACAGAAGTGCTGCTGTGGCTCAAGTAGTAGAGTGTTATAACTGAGCAAAAGAAGTTCAGGGACAGTGCCCAGGCAGGTATCGTTAAATACAATAAAATGTATTCATTTTAAAGACCCACTTCTGTCTTGACAAATGCACACACTGGTGTAACTACCACTAAAAAGAACATAGCATAAAAAAATCTGTCCCAAAAGTTCCTCCGGATTCTTTGCAATCAGCATCAGGAATTTCTGCTTGTCTGTCACTGTGGATGAGCTCTTCCTGTCCTCTAGTGTCATCTGAATGGAATCTTCAATGTGCACTCCCTTTTGTCTGGCTTCGTTTGTTTGTTTGTTTAGTGCTGGGATAGAACCAGGACTTTGACTATGATACTGTCATGGAATCACACCCCAGTGCATGGCTTTTAAGATTTTAAGCCATATTGTGGGATTCAGCCATTTACTCTTTTTATTGTTAAGGGAAAAATCCATTGATAGACCCACTAATTGAAAAAAATTAATATACTGACTTGATTGTGGTGATAGTTTTAAACTCACATATTTCTAGTATTATTTTTTTAATCCCCCGAACCTTCCCAGAATAGCCTAGGAAACCAGAAAACTTAAGAAAGCAATGGAAATTTACTAACTGATATTTCTGGGGGACTTCTGGGGTCAAGTAATAATATCATTGTTATTGTTAAGGCTGGTGGGGGAATTCATGTGATGGATAAACTGCCAGAAAATTCTCCTGCCCAAGGACTCAAGTGTTGGGTTGTCATCCTCTGATCTGTGGAAGGAGAGAGTTCTATAAACTCGATGAACATTCTGGGCTTAGGTGCACAAGCATCCTTCAACAAATCAAGGAAAACTAGCCAACTGCCGAAGGCCTTGGACTCATCTGAAATGGTTCACTTTGCCACCACTAGCATGAAGTCTTATGTTTAAGGGTCGGAGCCTATGGTGTTGCCAGCTGGCATGCTACAAACAGGTGGAGTCGCACACTCATTCGAAATCATTCCATAGCTGTGGAGCTCACATAATCGTCAGAATAGTCATGCCAAGTTGTAGAGAAAGAGGGAAATAAAAATGGAGAGCAACAGAGTCTGGAATAGGCCAGAGTTGCACAGTGGGGTCGGGAAAAGATTCAGAGGTTGATTGAAAGAAAGTCTGCTTGGCCCCAGAGTCCGTATTCTTGGCTGCTCTGTATGAAACATATCCATGATTCACTGGCCAGCACATACATAGAGAAAGGATCCTAGGTTTAGAAGACACAGATATAGAAGTCTGGTTATCACTTGGCTCCTCAAATTCAGCTGTTGGTTAAAGAAGAGAAATACTAGGCTGCAGGCTGTTTGTTTGAATCAACTACAACGCCAAGCAAGCAGAACCCATTGAGGCTGATTTCTCTTGTCCAACAGCTGAAGAACCAGGAGCTGCTGAAGGCAATGATGAAGAAGGCAGAGTTAGAAATCAGTAGCAAAGTGATGGAGACCATGAAGAGACTGGAGGATCCCGTGCAACGACAGCGCACCCTAGTGGAGCAAGAAAGACAAAAATATCTGCATGAGGAGGAAAGGATTGTCAAAAAGTTAAGGTACTGTCAGTCACTTGTGGCACGTACAGTTGTTTCCTCTGAAAATTGGCTTTGCTCACCGGGGAGAGTTTCTGGGTTGGTGTTTTCTCCCTCCTTCTTTTATTGAGTCCCTACAGTGCGCAGTCAGAGTTTTACTATTCCCAATACCAATACTTCTCCACGAAGTTCTGGAAGAGCCAACAGTCCCTACCTGACCAAAGCTAATTTCTTTACAAGTTAAAACATCATATTCTGTTCTGAGGCCTAGCACACATCAAATCAAAGGGAGTGAATGGCAAAACCCGATAATAAATGAAAAGTCTGCATTTAATCTCAATAAAAACTAAGGAACAATATGACAGCGCTAAAACTGTCTTCCTGTTAGTCAAGCATACTTTCCCCTCTGGCCAACCTGATATCCTTGTCAACTGGCCCACAAAAGGTAGAAGAATATCCCTGCAGAATATCCCAAACCAAACCCAGCTAGCATTTTTAAGAGCTCCCTCCATTGGAGTGGACATGAAGAGAGGGACTGGGTGGTCGATTGTGGAGGCCTGGGTGAGTGTTTGCTCCTGTACCTGTGCTTAGGTTCCTCTGTGTGAGCTGCTTCTAACTGTTCTACTTCTCTTCTCCCACCCCACCCGCAGTGAGCTGGAGGACTTTGTTGAAGACTTAAAGAAAGACTCTTCATCGGCCAGCCGAGTGGTGACTCTGAAAGATGTGGAGGACGGGGCATTCCTCCTGCGGCAGGTGGGGGAAGCCGTGGCCTCTTTGAAAGGTGAGTGCTGTGCTGGAGAGAGGTGAGAAGTATGCATTCTAAGGTGGTTGAGAGCCTTTCCGACCTGTCTGTGTTGGGAAAGGTGGTTTGTGCCATCATGAGAATTGAGGCACTAAGATCACTCCCAGGATTTTGAGACCAGTCTAGGGAACAGGGAAATACCAATCTCAAAATTTAAAATAAAAGTCTGGGAGGAGAATAAAGATTGGAGGGAGGGAGGAAAGGAGGGAGGGAGGGAGGGAGGGAGGGAGGGAGGGAAGGAAGCAAGCAAGCAAGCTGAACATGGAGATTATGCCTGTAATCCTAGCTTCTCAGGGGACAGAGATGAGGAAAATCTCTGTTCAAGGCCCGCTCAGGCAAAAATTTTTAGAGAGACCCTCATCTCAACCAGTAACCTAGTCATGATGGTATATAGACCTGCAATCCTACCTATGCAGCAGGCGTAGGTAGAAAGATCGTTGTGTGAGAATGGCTCCAGGTACAAATTCAAAACCCTATTGAAAAAAAATAAAATGAAAATAAACCATCTATCAAATAGTGCGGGATGTGTTCCTTCATGCATGCTTGCAGGCACTGTCTGGGCACTCAGGACGTGACACAGAACGAAGTAGCCTTCTATTTTAGTGGTCGCTGTTAAGATGTAAGACTTTCAAGGATACTATAAACCCTGTCCTTTCTCTGGGCCCCCACAGAATACCAGGACAGCTGAGCCCCATTCATTAAAAGCAGCCTAACATTCCATTGGCTGTATCCCAAATGTACAGGATCTGGGTCTGCAGGAGGGGTGAGCACTTTCCAAGTGCTTGGGATGGGGAGGAGGGATCTAGGGGCAGGGGTTCTGGCATTTTCCTACAGTTTACCAGCTGCTTTGGCCTGCAGGAGAATTTCCGACCCTACAAAACAAGATGCGCGCGGTGCTGCGCATTGAGGTGGAGGCCGTGCGCTTTCTGAAGGAGGAGCCACACAAGCTGGACTCGCTGTTGAAGCGCGTGCGCAGCATGACCGATGTCCTCACGCTGCTGCGCAGGTGACCCGGCGGCAGGGCGGGTTCAAGCGGTGGAGGGAGGAGACTGACCCCAGCCTGGAGGCTTCCCACGTTTTATTTTCCTTGCCTGGGGATCAGACCCCTGCGGCCCCTGGAATTTGATTGCCATATGGCTTCTCCTTGGATTTAGAATGAGTACTCATGAAGCCAGGCACCAGGGGCTCATGCCAGTACTCCTAGCTACTCAGTCTCCTGGGCTGAGATTAAGAGTTGAGGTTCAAAGCCAGCCTCAGCAGGAAAAATCCACAAGACTCTTACATCTGTTTAATCAGCAAAAGGCCAGAAGTGGAGGTGTGGCTCAAATGGTAGACAGCAGTAGTTTTGAGTGAAAAAGCCAATGAAGGGAAGGTAGGCCCCAAGTTCAAGGCCCAGTACCAACACACACACAGAGCATTACTATAGGTGGGCTGGCATGGATCAAGATGGGTTAAAAATAACATTGTCAAGTTTGAGAAGGGTTTCACTTGCAATCTTATTCGCCTCCTTCACTTGTGGGCCGACTTCTGAGTTCAGTTAGAAGAAAGGAAATAGAAATAAATTAGTCTTTCTTCAACGATCTGCCGCGACAGCACCTGAGACCATGCAGGGACCACCTCTCAAAGAGAACTCACCCCGCCCTGACATGAGCCCATCCCCTCATCAGAGTGAGCCCATCTAGCAAAGAGGGTCAACTGGGGAACAGACTCCAGAATCCATGCTTGCTTTCACTGAAAAGAAAATTCTAGAAGTTCATACTCTGCAAAAGGGCTTACAGGGCTGGGGGTATAGCCCAGTGATAGAGCACTTCCCCTTGTGAGCTGGACCATTTTTGGTCTCCAGCATCACCACCAAAAGGACAAACAAATACCTACAAGTAAGTGTGGCACTGATGTTTCAGAGACTACACTGGGAATCAGCCTTCTGTATTGTTGTCTGCGATGGCTTTGAACTAATTGCCATAGAAACCTTCATCCCTGTACTACTCCTTAGAGCTCAGAATAGCCTCACCTCCCCTGACCTTGGGATGAGTTCGCTCAGGGATACCCCCATGGTAATACTCAGGAGACACATTTCAATAGCTCATGTTGCCATGTGGTTTCTCCTAGACATGTCACCGATGGGCTCCTGAAAGGCACGGATGCAGCCCAGGCCGCACAGTATGTCGCCATGGAGAAGGCCACAGCCGCAGAGGTCTTGAGGAACCAGGAGGAGGCAGCCCATGCCTCTGGGCAGCATGGCGCGGGAGTCCCTGGTGATGTGAAGTCAGAGGCAGTGGCCTTGGCTGCTGGTGTGACTGTGCACCATGCGCAGAGCTCTCCGGTGGTCATCCAGCCCTCCCAGCACTCCACAGCCCTGCTGAACCCTGCCCAGAACATGCCTGGTGGCACAAGTTCCCACACAGCCAGCCCCACAGCAGCCCCACAGGAAGTCACCTCTGTGCTGCAGTCGGCTCCGGTCCCCCAGTCCCCACAGACACCTGTGAATGGTTCCACCATACAGAGCTTATTCATTGAAGAAATCCACAGTGCAAGTTCAAAGAACAGGGCAGCATCCATTGAGGTAGAGCCCCATCTCCTTTCCCCCTGGGAGGCCACAGTCTGATTGTAGAAATAATAACATAGGAAGGCAGAAATAGATTGGAAATAGATTTTCTTGAGTCAAAAACAGATTAGTGAAGTTATAATAGCTGAATAGCCAGGATAAGGAAAGGTGATCAAGCTTGAAATGCATGATGCCAGACCTGGAAGAAGAGGAACTGTGTGCTGGGAATATGTAACTGGCTTGCTTGGAGAAAGCCCCAACTTGCAGCATTTGCCAGGCCCTCTGGTGTAAATCCTCCCACCATGGAAGATGTCAGAAAATCATGCCAATGCTTCCTGAGCCACTGAGTGCTGATTCTAGCCTCCATTTTGTTGAGGGCAACTTAGGGACAGAAGGACACTGGAAGGCTGCAGGGTCTGGGGAAGCAGAGAAGGGACCAAGACATCGTGGGATGGGGATGCTAGAGCAGAGGCTAGGGCTGTAAATAAATCTCTTCAATGGCAAGTGAGGACATCAAGACAGAAAACCAGCCGGAAGCACATTGCAGAGAACTTGAGAATCAGTCTGAGATAGGGGGAGTGTCTTTTGAAGGTATCCAAGGGTGCTACAAATGTAACCCATGATTTTAAACAGCATCTTTAGGAATGTGGACATAGTCTACAGAATTGCCTGAGGTGGTAGGTCTGGTTTTAAGGTAGCTGAGGGGAAGTGATTGCAGGTATCATAGAATAAAAAACAGAGGCAGGCAAAACTGAAACAGAGGACCTGGCTGGAGGGATGACTTGGTGGTAGACCAGTTGCCTAGCATGTGAAACTTGGGTTTCATCTGTAATATTAGATATATCTAATTATATATACTAAAAAGATATCCTTAGCTTTCCAATATTCTTTTTAGTGATGCTTAAATAACCAATTTTGCTTCCCTACCTCTTTCCTCCCTCCTCCAGAGCTTGTCACCAACTCACTTTATCTCTACCAACCTTGTCCTAAGCTTTTCTGTCTCTCTTACCCACAAATGGGGGAAGGGAGGTAGTGTTGAGATGGCAACTTAAAACTGCCGTGGTTTCCATGTCTGGCTGATTGATTGAAGTGAGGTTTTTTGTCCAGGCTGACAGTGAACTGTGATCTTTCTGATCTCTTCCTGCCACCTCTCAGGTATTATTGGTATGAGTCACCATACCTCCTCTGAAAGCATGTTCTGTGTGCCAAACATACTTTTGAGAGCATTTTTTGTGTGCCTGTTTTTGGATGAGAGCCTCTTACCTCTACCTCCTGAGGAGCTGGGATTACAGGGATGAACCAACAAAACCAGCAAGATTTTAAGATAGGTTCTCTAACTTTTTTGCCTGGGCTGGCTTTGAAATATGATCTTTCCATCTTAATCTCCTGTAGAGCTGGGATCACAGGTATTTGCTACTATATCAGCCACTCGTGTCCATTTTTATTTATTTCCCAGCAGAAATGGGTTGTAAATACTCAGTAATAGTTTAAATGTCCAGGGCTAAGGAAAGTCTTGGTGTGCAAGCATGCCTCACATGGAAACCAGCACATTATTTTACCAACACTTCGGTTGTGCTCCACCCGCTTCTCCCTGCATTGTGACTAAATTATCTTTTCCTTCTGGCTTTGAAATTTGGCCTCACAGAAAGCAGAGCGGAAATGGGAAGAAAAGAGGCAGAATCTAGACCACTACAATGGGAAACAGTTTGAGAAGCTCCTGGAAGAAGCTCAGGCCAACATCATGAAGTCAATTCCTAACCTGGAGATGCCGCCAGCCTCAAGCCCACTGCCAAAGGGAGGAGCCCCAGAGGACAAGCGGGAGCTTTCGGGTAAGGCCTGGCCCCATAGCACCTAATTTGGAGTTGCAAGGCCTGGCTGCCCTCGTCAGTGTCCTGTTACAAACATATGCTCGTGTTGGGCCCTGGGACACATCTCCCTTCTTAAGGAGCATATAAAATTGGAAAGTTGGAAGAGAAAATCTGAGTTAGGATATTGGAACAATATCCAAAGAAAGAAATCTAAAGTGTAGTTCCACATTTCCTCTATATGTGTGTGCAGCAGCTGGAAGAGATGAGGCCTCCATCCGAAAATGAGGGTTTCTGTGCTTATGTGCTTGCAGTGAAAAAAAAGAAGGAGGCTACAATGCTTGATAAGAAATGTACTCATTGGGGCTGGGAAGGTGGCTCAGTGGTAGAGCACTTGCCTTGCATGCATGAGGCCCTGGGTTCGATTCCTCAGCACCACATAAGCAAAAAAGAAAAAGCCAGAAGTGGCGCTGTGGCTCAAGTGGTAGAGTGCTAGCCTTGAGCTGAAGAGCTGAGGGACAGCGCCCAGGCCCAGAGTTCAGGCCCCACGACCGGACCCAAAAAAGAAAAGAAAAGAAATGTACTCATTATCTTGCCCATGTAATTGTAACCCCTCTGTACAGTATTTTCACAATAAAAAAAAGAAAATGTGATATATATCACACACACACATATACATATATAAAAGAAAAAAACCTAGCTTTTTTAAGCACCCAAAATAATAGAAGCCAATTTGCATTTTGCAGATCAAAATTATTACTGTGTATTTAACTGGCTCAACTCTGAAGTTGAAGCTTCAGTGTGTCAATAATATACAGACGTGCGCCTCTAGGAACGGACCACATACATGATGGTGGGCCCCTGGAATGACATGGCTTAGTGACCTCATCGCCATCTGGTTTGGGGTATCTCCTATCCTGTTCACACACCTTCTGAATGGCCTCAGGAGGCATTGCTCTAAATGGCTCCTGTCCTTACCTAACTCATGATTAACTTTCTAGAAACTCAGTTGTCTTAATCTTCTCCCAGTGACAGCTATGTGCCTGTTTCTGACTGATATTTTACTTACAGCCTGATGTCTTTGAGGTTTTGTTTTGTTTTGTTTGTGATGGCCTTGGGGCTTAAATTCTGGACCTGGGCACTGTCCCTGAGCTTTAATGCTTAAGGCTAGTGCTCTATCACTTGAGCCACAGCTCCACTACCCCCCCCCTTAATTGGAGATAAGAGTGTCACAGGCTTTCCTGCGTGGGCTGGCTTCAAAACCACAATCCTCAGATCTCAGCCACCTGAGCTGCTAAGATTCCAGGCGTGAGCCGTTTGGCACCTGGCAATCGGATGTCTTTGAATGCCATGCTATTGCCATGATGCCCAGCCACTGAGATGAGCTGGAAAAGGATTTGCCATCTTGCCTTGCACTTCCAGGAACTTTAGAGTCGATTCAACTGAGAACCTCAGGAACCTTCCCACCCAGACTGCCCTTTGTTCCATTCCCTAATCCTCCACTCACTGAGTCTGCCTGTGTGTGCTACGAGCCCCATCCACCCTCTTCTCCATCCACCTCCTGTAAGGCCTTTCTAGGCCCGTGAACAGCCAGATAACAGCTTCCTGGAGAGGGGATACTCCATCAGGACTGATTCTCTCAGAAAGCAAACTTCTCTGCCAAAGTCTTCAGGGAGAATTTCTGAGGAGGCAAATGACTCACCTCATCCCATTTTTTATTTTATCCTCCACAACTACCAAACTCCCCGACCCCATTTTTTTTGCCAGTACTGGAGATTGACATACTTCCTAAGCTTTTCCACTCAAGGTTGGCCCTCTACCATTTGAGCCAATCTTCCAGCCAAGTGAGAGCACGAGGTCCTAAGTTCAAGCCCAGTAGTAGCAGAAAACAAAAGCACCTTTTTCTTTTTCCCCAAGCTGAAAGGAAGAAGACTTTGCAGTCCCTACATGGATTCTTACATTGCCTTAAGGTTCTCATTTTTCTCTATCAAAATGCTTTTCAGACTTTTTGCATAAACAAGACACTCATTTAATAAAACGATGAAATAGTTTGCAGCATGTCTTCAGAATGCCAGAGCTATATGTGAGTGAGCTTGTGAGGCTTGGGACATCCCAGTGAGAAAGGCAGCGTTGTAACACCCACTGTAAGAAAACTGAGCCTGAGAAAGTGAAGGTACTTGTGCAGGGTCTTTCTGAGATTTAAATACAGTTGCTTCCTCCTTAATCATTGCTCTGAGGAGAGAATGGAGAATTTCTAGGTCAAATTGCATTGCTTACACAGCCACATAATGGCTTTCTGAACACTATTTTAAAAAGAGATTACCTTTGAAGTGACTCATTGTTTTGCTTTGTGTATTTACATTTGTTTGTTTTCCAGAAGACTCTCCAAATTCAGAACAGGACATGGACAAGCTAGGGGGAAAGTCGCCCCCTCCTCCTCCCCCACCTCCTCGGCGAAGCTACCTTCCTGGATCAGGGATCACCACCACAAGGTCGGGCGACGTGATCTACACCAGCAGGAAGGAAGGCTCCAGCACTAAGGTCTGATGGCATAGGCCCAGGTGCAGCCTAGCCCAGCCCCTTAGACAAGGTTCTGCTTGAACAGAGCAAGCAAGAAAGCAGAGAAGAGAAGTAAAATCTCCCTGGCCAGGATGTGGCAAGAAGGGTGACAGGTCCGCCAGGGTTATCAGCCTGCACGCAGCACCATGACCTTTAGCTTTCCTGGACTTTCAGTTGTGACATTATTCTTCTCACACAGGGCATGGTGAGGGAGACGGGTTGAGGGAGAAGGGAAAGGAAGATGGCCTGTGGTGTGATTAGCTGACAGAGCTGTGGGAGTTTATTCAGCACGCTTTGAAGGAGTCTAGCTTCCACGTGACACATGTCCTCTTGGATTAAATGGAAAACACAATTTCCAATGAAATATCATATGTGGAGAGTCTTTCGAGAAAGTGTTAAATATAGAGTTACAATTTTATTAGAATGTGGGTATTTATTCACTAAAAACGACAACAACAAACTGTCCAACAGTGTGAGGGAATGAATTAGCCTTTCATTTAGGTGTAAAGCGGCAAGAAGCCAGTGAACCAGGTACTGAGGAGCCACGTAATCCTCTTTTTTGTTTGTTTGTTTGTCTTTGTTTTTGCCACCTCTGGGAGGTCTTAGGCCAATAGCTGTGGTTTGCATCTCTCATAGGCAAGCAGTGATGATGCCGGAGCAAGCCCACACACTAGAGCCTCTAAGTGTCCCACAGAGGAGCCTGCCTCAGCCTGGGCCAATTCCCATCCACCAGTTCCTACTGCCTCCTCAAAAGATGAGGAGGAGGAGGAGGAAGAAGGAGATAAGATCATGGCAGAACTCCAGGTATGTGGATGAGGTGCCTGCTATAAAGTTCCCTTTTGGGGCTTTCTGGCTATGGCTCAGATTTGTTAGCTGGAGAAGGACCCTAGATGTGGGTTAAGGGGGGTGTGTCTTCTGGCCTTGGCCTTAACCTTTATTTGCCAAGATTGTGCTGAAGCAGTTTCTTGGTGCACCTGTAAGATTGTAAGAGCAATGACTATTTTTACAGAACAACTCCAGAAAGTTTATACATATGTAGAAGTTTATACATAAGTAAAATCGATTGTAGCTCGGAAAATCGGATTCATTTCCTTTTCTTTCAGGTTTAATAGTCTCTGTTTATGTCCCTTCCTCCCACCCCTCCCCACCCCCAAAATAAGCTGGGGATTAGAAACGGTAGCACTTGTCTCGGTAAGGACTGAATGTGGCCCACTTTAGGTGGGGTTCTCTTCATTGGTTCTTATCTATAGACTGACATTGAACCAGGACTCAACACCAATGGCTGGCTGCCTACAATTTATACCAGGTCTCTAGTTAATGTCAGCGTCATCTTTCAGATATTCTGCAGAGGTGAATAATTGGATTTCCCATTTCCCTCAGCCCATTTGAAGAATTACATTTCATTAGTTTTTTAGGTGTTTACTTTGTAACCTGTGGAGGTAGTTCACTCTTTTTTGAATACATTGAATATTAAGGAGTTACAATTTTATGAGAATTCTTCCCAGAAGTGACTCTTCTGGTCATGGATGTAAATCTACCCTAGAAGGATGTTCTGAACTTTGTCACAATAGGGACATTGTATACACACTTCGTTAGTATTTTGTTTGACTCCTGTTTATCATAGGATATTTTAGATGTCAGCTTCCAGCGGCCTCTAAACCAAGTTTACTTTCCCCACCAGTCCCATGGTTTTGTGCTAGCCCATGGCATCCTCAAGGCACTTGTTCTACTCTGGTTTACATGGTAACAATGGCCAAAATGGTACTTCTTGAATTGTGCTGGGACAATAGGCTGCTAATTGTTCTGTGGTGTATGTGACCTCATTCAAACCTTCCTAAAAATTACAGATGTCCTGGGAGTCCTCTTCATGATGCAGATTGGTTACAGGTTTCAGAATGGTCAGAAACTCATTCATAATTTTATCAAGTTAACAACTTGGAAGTCTGTCCTCAGAGAGAAGCCATAGATGATGTGTTGCAATCACTTCTAGCCTCTACTGGAGGAAGAGAATGTTTTCCACCAATGAAGTCTTAATCTTCTGTAACCTCTTTGATGACCCTTTACCAAGGGTGGAATACCTGGCTTCTTGCTGTGGGATTTGTGGCTATTTAATTACAGCAGATGAAGGACTCTTTTCCTAACTGGAACTTGTTGGCCTTCCTGTTGGGATAAAGAACTCAACCTGATGAACCAGAAAGCTAGCGTATGGTGCTGGCTTTTTTTTTTTGGTCGGTCGAGGGGCTTGAACTCTGGGCTTAGGCGCTGTCCCTCAGCTCTTCAGCTCAAGGCTAGCACTCTACTTCTTGAATCACAGCGCCACTCCAGTTTTCTAGTGGTTTATTGGAGATAAGAGTCTCATGGACTTTCCTGCCCCGGCTAGCTTTGAACTGTGATCCTCAGATCTCAGCCTCCTGAATAGCGAGGATGACAAGCCTGAGCCACCGGCACCCAGCTGGTGCTGGCTTCTTTACTGGTGCATGCTCTGCAATTAGACACCTGTCAGGACCAGGAGACTCCACAGTGCCCTCTAAGATTAGTCATGGAACAGCACGCACAGCTTGATGGCATCAGGCATCAGAAGAAAATACGAGCTTTGAAATCCAGGGCCTCACAGCCCAAAGGATATGTAATTGGCCTCCAAAAGTGGTTCCTTCAATAAGCAGTTAAGCCAAGCATGTCCAGGGCAAAGCAGGGTTGGCTTTCTAAGGAGCAAGAGGGAAGGAGGGAGAGAGAGAGGGCAGAGTGAAGAAGAAAGCGCCAGAGGAGGATTCTAAGACATTAAGACACATTAAGGCACTGCTGCTGCAGTGCCTACTTACAGAAGCCACACCTTCTTCTCTCCGCCTAGCCAGTTATTTCCGAATCATAGCATTTGACATAAAGAAAATATGAGGCAATTATTTGAGGTCATTTATTTAAATAAGACTTATTTAGTCCCAGCTTCACATTCAAAATAACCTCTATAACCCAGGCATTCCAATTTACTTATTCTCTGAGTACAGCTTGAGTAACAGGATTTTTCTGTTGCTTGTCGGTGTGGTGTTAAGCTGGGTGATAACGTAGCTTGATTGAGAATCACCAATGCTTCTCAGCTCTCTTGCTCTTGTGAGCAGTATCAAGAAACACTTCCAGGTCCCACTGTCCTTTCAGCCCTGCAGACCCAGCCAGCACATTCCCTCTAAGAACCTGTCTCCCTCACAGTGTTCACATAGGCAGCTCTTGTCTCTCTAGTTACAATGGGTAGTTTTGAGAAGGGGGGTCTCTTGGACCACTCCGAGCCACATGAATGCAGAAGCCCAGGGCTTTGTTGTGCATGAGCAACAGAGCAGGGTGAAACCTGTTATTACTTCAGAGACTGGAGTGGTAAAAATTATTTTTATTTAAAGGCTTAAAATGTCTTGCGAAGCATTTCCCCCCCCCCCCCCACCCCATGGTTTCAATAACTCTGGTTTTAAAAATGAAGCAAATAAAGTGACTGATATCTTTTGGTACATACCAATAATGTTAAAGATCAAAGCAAACGGGGCACAGTGATGCATGGCTGTCATCCAAGGCTACTTAGGAGTCTCATGTGCAGTGGATCGCAGTTGAAGGCCAGCTAGGGCAAAATGAGTTCTTGAGGTCTCATCCAAGCAGAGAAAATTGGGCATGCTGGCAGATGCCTGTCATCCCAGCTACAGGGGGAAGAAGATAAGATGATGGCCTAGACTGGCATGTGCAAATAATTAATAATAATAATAATACTCTGTCTCAAAAAAATCAAAGCAAAAGGGCTGGTGGCATTGCGCTAGTGAGTGGCAGAGCATCTTCCTAGCAAGTTCAAGGCCCTGAGTTCAAATTTCAGTACCACCACCAACAAAAGAAAAGGCACAGCAAAAAGTCCACCTAAGTACAAGTGCCATTCAGGCTCAAAGAGGGCCAGGTATTCCCACTTTCTTCTTGTTGTTGCTTTTCTTTTCTTTCTTTGGTGCTCAAGATAGAACCCAGGGTCTTGTACTAAACTTAGACCTTCCACTGAACTACTGGCCAGCCCAAGAGTGTTCCTGTCCATATTAGTGCGGCGGAGAATCTTTAGCCCCGGACTTAGCTCCAATGCCAGATGTACACCTTGAAGCCCAGTGGGGTACTGGATTCCAGTGTGCTGCCTCCCTGGTGTGAGCCCACACACAGTTCCAGGCCTGAAGCCCCGCACCTGCATTTCTACCTCTCTCCCATTTTTCTGCTTATTACACTTGGATCCTTTTTAACCTCAGTATTTTAATCCCTCAGGCATTCCAGAAGTGTTCCTTTATGGATGTAAATTCAAACAGTCATGCTGAGCAGTCCCGGGCTGACAGTCACGTTAAAGACTCTAGGCCAGGCGCCACAGTCCCACCCACGGAGAAGAAGGTAACACGTGGCACCCACACATTTGCCACACGGCCAGGCAGCCTGCCTCCCTTTCTGTCGTACTAACATCTGGCTCTCTCGCACTGACCTTCGTGCCCTGTGTCCTTTCCTCTTCCCTCTCCCCATCACCAGACTAATAGAGACACACTTAGCTGTGTCAAAGATGCCCGGCTCAGGTTTCCAAAAGAAATGGTGTCTCTGTGCACAGCACCCCATTGTCTATGCAAAAGTGAGATGATGCCTCCCCACACCATATAGATATACGTATATATATAAACATACATATATATATACACACACATATGTACACACACACACGCACACACACGCACATACACACACACACACCTTTCAGGATTTTTCTAGAACAATTCTAAAAGGAAAGAAAAAGGGTTTAAGGCATGGCTCAGCAGCAGAGAGCCAGCCTAGCAAGTGTGAGGCCCTGGATTCAAACCCAAGTACTACCAAAGAGGAAAAAAATAGAAGAAGAAGGGACAGAAAAAGAAAGAAGGAAGGAAAAAAAGAAAGTAAGAGCAACCAAAATGTAGAAGTATGTATAATTTTTCTAATTTTTAACATACTCTCTGGACAAAAGAAAAGTCTTTGTTAAAAATAGATGAATAAGCCAGGTATCAGTGGCTCACACCTATAACCTACCTACTCAGGAGACTGAGATCTGAGGATCATGGTTCAAAGCCAGTCTGGGGAGGAAAGTCCCTGAGACTCTTATCTCCAATTAACCACCAAAAGGCCAGAAGTGGGGCTATGGCTCAAGTGATAAGAGCGCTAGAGCTGAAGGGAAAAAAGAAAAAGGTGAGTACTTGAGGTATATAGAAGTATTAGGCAGAAAACACATGCTGTGACATAATACAGCGTGGAATTGGAGAAATATACAAGTCCATGCACATGCCCAGCCAAGGAATCAAACTTAACTGCGCAAAGTAGTGTCAACTTTTGAAGTGCATCTTCCAAGGCAATAGCTTTAGAATAGTTTCTGTGCTAAAATATAGTTGTAGCTTCAAAAAGCTGTCCAGACAATAAAATAAAGCTGCCCTCATTGCATATATACTTCTGGGAAAGGAGTTTAGCCAGAGCTAACAAACTTGGAGCTGCAATTTTAAGTTCAATGTAACACATGTGTCATTGGGAAACTTAGAGCCATCTCATTTTAATTATGACTCTGGTTTTTTTTAAATCCCTTAACAACTCAGTTCTTAATATTTCTCACTAGGAACTTATACTTCAGAATCCAGAGACTGTAGCTTCCCTTTAGTAAAGTTCAGCAGACTGGTGCAGGATAGCTTCACATCCCCTCGGGCATGGAGAGGTCATCTCAATGATGAGGCATCAGAACACAGGGTGAGAGGTTAACATAAGTCAGAGGCCTCCCTGCTTCTCAGCCATCATAGAGCCTAGTGCACACCATGTCTGCCACATAGCAATGGAAGCGGTCAAGGTAGGAGAATTTCATCCTGTATACCAGGAGTTTATGAGATTACTATGAATAAACATTTCTCATGAAGAAAAGCTCCCATTTGAACTCATGATATATCAAATATATACATATATATATGTCAGTATTTATGTGGCCTTATTAAAGGTAATTCATGAGTGGGCCCTGGCATGACCTGACGTGGCCTGCGCGGTGTACTTGGACCTAGGTTCCTGGTACTAAAACATCCACTAGGAACTTGGTTTCTCAACAAACCCTCCAGGAACAATTATTATCTCATCATGAAAGTTTTCAATGGGCTAGAATGTTACTGGAGATTACTTTCCCAACAATTAGAAATCCATAACTGATTAATCACTTAAGATCCATCTCAAAGCCAGCAGGTCTTCATTGAGTGCCCTGCACTGGGTTTAATTACAGGTGCTTATTCTGGATCATTATTCAAAACCAGTAGGTGGATCTATTTTGTAAGGACTCAGTACTTGTCATTATTAACCTCTAGGTGGGCTATTTGTCTATCTTTCTTTCTATAAGTCAAATGTATTCTTTAATTTTTTTCTCCTATCATCGTAACACTGTAGCCTAGTACTTGTCTTTTCTAGAGGTTTTGAAGCTATGTCTCTATCTCTATTTTGTTTATTGTCCTTATTCATATTAAGTGTGCTTCTCCAATTGTCTTCAGCAATCCAAATCTTAGGGTCCATACACAGATATTAAAGAGGCTTAATGAGCTTTCGCAGTCTTACAAGCTAAGACTGAACAGTCGTTGTCAGTAGACATGATGACTATGACCAGGTGGCTCTGAAGTTCATGAAATTGTTTTCCAAACATATTCCTTTTCCTAGCCCTGTGATAAACACGAAAGTTCACATCACAGATAAACATGACATCTTTAGCGTGATGACTTTCCTTTGGAGTATTCCTACTACTTAATCAATATTAGAGTATGTGTGTTGCAGAGGAACATTGGAATAGGTAACAATCGGTATGGTTGAGCTGGAGGCGTGATTCAAGTGGTAGAGTGCCTGCCAAGCAGGCTCAAGGCCCTGAGTTCAAACCTCAAAACTACCCCCCAAATAAGACAGAAACCAATAAGTATGTAATGGCCTTTGACCAACCAGAACATATCTGAGCCACAGCTCCCGGTTAATGGGACTGGTAGGGCCTCAGCTAGTCCTGTGTCTTCCTGAGTTCCAAGTGACTTGGCCCTTCTTTGATTCCTAGCATGACATGCCAACCTGCCAGCTCCGTCTTTGGAGTTGAACCTAGACCATAACCATGTTTACTTTTCTTAAAACCTTTAACTTAATATATAGTTTTATCATCTGAATTGTAAAAATCCCACGGAAGAAATTATATTGTTCCGTGGTAGCACCTGAGTCCCTGCCCCTATTAGGGCACTGATGGGGAGCAGCAGACGTCTGTGGGCTAACATCCTCGTGAATGTGTCCATGTGATTAATGCTGGCTTTGTCGTTTGTGTGAGTCCTTCTCTGGGTTGACTTTGACTCCACTTGAGTTACTGTGCTTCGTTCCATTGTCATCGCCTGAACCAAACTGCCTCCAGTGGGACTATGTTCCACGCTTGAGGATCACCACGTCCTCTTGGGATTCCGCAATGAGAAGAAAGGGCAGCAGTGCCACGGGAGGGACAAATGTCCCTGTGTCCCTCCCTAGCATCTAGCGTCAAGGTGATGGGGGGGGGGCTGCGGCTGGCTAGAAGGACTGGGCTTCCAGATGAGAATGCATCCTTCATCATATCATACAGACCATTAAAGCTGAGGTTTGACACTACAGCCACCATCTCTCTCGCAAATACTTTTGATTTTAGACTACATTGTTGCACCATATAACAATATTTTGGTCACCCATGGACCATACGGTGGTGATTTCATGGGATTTTGCTGGCACTGAAAAGCCCTGTTCCCTACTGACATCTTAGCCATCATACAGTCATAGAACTGCACAGTACTCATGTTTGTGGTGATGCTGGTGGTGTCACCATGGTACTAACCAACGATGTTTGTTTCTGGTTGATATAGTTTCTGTACTGTACTTTAGATCATTATTTTACTGAATTTATTCATTATCATCCTATTTATATAAAATATATCTACTTAGTATGTACTCCACTCATGTAAAACTTACATATGTTTATTAATGAACCAAGTTCAATAACACAACAGTTGGGCTGTGTTAGGCCACCAGCAACATCATGTGTCTCATGTTTACCAGGTCTCCTGGTTATATTAAGAGGCCACAGTGCTGAGTACAGATAGAGCATGCCTGCAATCCTAGCTATTCGGGACCTGAGCTCTGGGGATCATGGTTCAAAACTACCCTGAGCAGAAAAGGTCATGAGACTCTTATTTCCAGTAAACCTGTTAAACCTGGAAGTGGAGGTGTGATTCAAGTGGTAGAATGCCAGCCTTGAGTGAAAAAGCCAAGCAACAGCACAAGGCCCTAAGTTCAAGCCCCAATACCAACACACATGTGTGCATGCACACACACACGCACACACACACAAGAGGCCACAGTAAGTGGTGGCCCTAGGCATCCAGGTCCACAGAGGTACACTCTAGTGAAATCACCTAATGACAATGTCCCTATGGTTAAGTGATGTGTGGCTTTATGCTGCAGAAGCATTTAGCATATGCCTTCGGATTGAGTACCGTGGCTATTATTAATTTAACACTTTGACACCTTCAAAGACATTTTTAATCTACCATGTGACCAGAGGAAAAATACGTTTAATTTTTTCACCCCAAAGTACCACCCCTAACCAATGCAGAACTCTTTATGGGACAATTTCTGCAACCATGGAGACCACTAGCAATAGAGGACATTAAAAATCTCCTGGTATTGTTCCTCAGTTTACAGTCAAGGCAGGTGAGGTGCAAGGAAGGAAGTAAAAGATTTGCCCAATGTCTCTCAGCTAAGAGACAGATATTACAAACTGAGTTATTCTGCTTGCCCAATCTTTCTGCAGTTCTAAGACAGCAGTCAGGAGAGAGGATCGGATGTGTTGACACAGACCCATTTATTCTTGTCTCTGTGCCCCTACAAAATTTAAAATACTGGGAATAGTTTGCTAATTGAGATTTTCATCTTGTGCAGACACAGGGCATTTTTGGAGGTTGGAGAGCAAAGCAATCCCAGGTAAACTGAGCTATAGGCTTTGGATTGGCGTGTGACAATTGTGCTTGGCCCGTGTGTTTGTAAATGTAACTCAAGGCACAATTTAGTTATAGTCCACTTGCGGGGAATGTGGCTCTGTGGAGTAATTTGTCCTACACTATTCTACCAGAATTTGGAATTTTTCCATGAAGATGTACGGAAATCTGGTGTTGAATATTCAAATGGCCCCCAAATGGAACCTCAAAAGGTGAGTTCACCAGATCTGTGTTCCCACCCACCGGCACCATGAGGATTAGTTACCTGCTTTTATAAATCCGTTCCTGGTTAACATGTATGGTTTCCCTCCTCCACTCTCCCTCCCAGGTTGCCCCGGGGTCTCTAAGACCTACTGACCCTCCTAAGTGGGAAAGAAGAATGGAGCAGAGTGTTTCTGATTCATCAAAAACATCAGACTATAAAACTGACATCTTAAAAAAGGGAAATTCTATCTCCCATAAGAGTTTGTACAGAGACAGTAGAAACTATCCTCAGAAAAATGTGCAAACGGTCAATTTCGGTTTTCCTGGCCTGAATTCATTAGAAGAGGAAGTCAACAAAGGAGCAAGAGCCTCGGGACCACTCTTCCCCAGACCTGACCCTGAGAACCCAAAGGTGAATTACGGAAAGCCAAAAACAATATATGTACAAGGACAAGAAAACACAGACAAGGGTCACATTCCCTCTCCCCTGCGCTCCACAGAATTGGTGCCTGGTGACGTGAGAAACCAAGATCAAGACACTCTCCTGACAGACTTTGGCCAAGTTGTTCTAAGACCCAAAGGATCTAGGCATGTGCCTGTGAACGACGAAGGGGAGTCAAGTCCAAGTTCTCCCAGTGAGGAAAATATGGCTACTGACAACATTGCCTTCATGATTACCAAAACAGCTGTCCAGGTTCTGTCCAGTGGGGAGGTCCACGATATAGTTAGCCAAAAGGGACAAGAGATCCAGACGGTGACTATTGATGCCAAAGAAGAGACCACCTGCCAACAAGATGGGACTGGGAATGAGGAGCCTGTTGTATGCCTAGACAAGAAACCAGTTATTATCATTTTTGATGAGCCCATGGACATCCGCTCTGCCTATAAGAGACTTTCAACCATCTTTGAGGAGTGCGATGAGGAGCTAGAGAAAATGATGACAGAGGACAAGATAGAAGAGGAAGAAGAGGAGGAGACAGGAGAGGCCGGAGTGCAGACTAGCACTTCCCAGCGGCTTCACAAACCCGGGCCACAAGCAGAGATGAAATCACAGCCATACTCCAGGTCCACAGAGAGCAAGAGACCTGGAGGACCGGAAATGGACAAAATGGAGCTGAGTCACTTAAGCCCAGCTGATTCTCCAGATGCCAAGTGTGATGTGGCCGATGAGCAGTTTGAAAGTCCCAAGAAGAAGTTTAAATTCAAGTTTCCTAAAAAACAACTGGCAGCTCTCACTCAGGCAATTCGCACAGGAACCAAAACAGGGAAGAAGACTTTACAGGTGGTGGTCTACGAAGAAGAGGAAGAGGATGGCACATTGAAGCAGCATAAAGAAGCCAAGCGATTTGAAATCACCAGCTCTCAACCAGAAGACACCCCCAAAAACATGGCTAGGAGACATGAGCAGCCCGGTCCAGAGGGCACTTCTCCAATTTCAAGAACTGATGAAATTAGAAAAAATACCTATAGAACATTAGACAGCCTGGAGCAGACCATCAAACAGCTGGAAAATACCATCAGTGAAATGAGCCCCCAAACCCTAGTCGATTCCTCCTGCTCTTCCACCAGAGATTCTGTTACAAGCGCATCTCAGTTAGCCCCAGAGCCGTCTCCCCGATCCTTGCTAGTTGTGGACGAAGTCCCCCCTGCCCTAGACCCCCCCACGCCAGTCTCTTCAGCTTCACGTAAGGTATCTTGGTCTGCCAGAAAGTGGAAAGGCCCAGCTGCTTTCTTAAATCTGCCATAATCACCACTAGCAACAGGTGTCTTGTGATGTAATTGCTTCCTTTCAGGTGGCTCGTATTATTATTTTTTTTGTCTGTTCGCCATGATTACCCTTCTCTCACACCCTTCTCCTCTACCTTCCCAACAACAACTAGGTGTCTAACAGCTAATCGACTCTGTTTTTGCCTCTGTTGCTGACTGGTGTTGGGTACCCGTGAGGATGTCGTTTGCTGTTGAGATGATTGCTCTGAGACTTCGCATTAAAATCCGTTTGATCAGTAGTGAGCAGTTGGTTCGACTTGATTAACCCCAGTCGGTGTCTCCCGGATCTGTCCTGCATGTAGGGCTCTGGCTTCTTGCCCTGACCTTCTCTGCACACGTGGGGCCATCCTCCATGATGATCCACTCACGTGTTCTCTCTCTCTCCCCCTCTCGCTGGTCCTTCCCACAGGGCTCCGGTGCCACCCCACAGACGAGCAGAATGCCAGTCCCTATGAGCTCCAAGAGCAGACCGGGAAGCCTGGATAAACCCAGCAAGCAGTCCAAACTCCAGGATCCCCGACAATATCGTCAGGTAGTTTTACCTTAAATCCAATTTTGGATGAATGGACTCGATGGCAATTAAGCCAGTCATTAACTTAGTTTACACCAACTACTGTGTTTTCTTTGTAAGATTCGGTTTACATCGACATTCTCGGTCTGGGGGCATGAAGAAAGTCTAACGTTATAATACCTTTGTCAACCTTTTCACCACATTCTTGCATGCCTGTAATAAGACATCTTTTCCTTTGTGACGCCACATTTGAACTGTTAACTCGGTAGGAGACCAGTGGAATATGGGGGGTGAATATAACACTTCATCAGAACACCTTGGGACGCAGGCCAGCCAAGCTGTCTTTGAACTCACCAGTACTAACGTCCGTCCGTGTGCTCTGCCTTGTGTTCGAAGCCATTAACTCTCCATCACTAGGCCCCCGCCCAACCCCAGTGGTAATCCTGATGCATGGCCCTCTAGGCACAGGGGAAATGGTTGCAATGATGTGTGCCCTTCTTGTCTGTCTCTTCTCTGTCTCCTTTGCCGTTACGCTTGGGGAGGGTTTCTGCCAGATCCAGGGAATCCCCCACTTTAATAGCTCAGGCCTCGAATGGTGTTGATTTCCTTTGATTGAATGTAAGGTACTCAGAAGGGGCCATGTTTCCAGGCCCTGTGCTTGACCATGTGACCAGTCATCTGACAAACTGTCTCCCGCCATCTTTATTCACAGGCTAATGGAAGTGCTAAGAAAGCTGGTGGGGATTGTAAGCCTACTTCCCCCTCCTTACCTGCTTCTAAGATTCCAGCTCTTTCTCCCAGCTCTGGGAAAAGCAGTTCTCTGCCCTCTTCTAGTGGTGACAGCTCTAACTTCCCTAATCCACCTGCTACTAAACCATCCATCACTTCTAATCCTCTGAGCCCCCAAACAGGACGGTCCGCTCACTCCGCCTCCCTCATCCCTTCTGTCTCTAATGGCTCCTTAAAGTTTCAGAGCTCCTCTCATGCCGGTAAAGGCCACCACCTTTCATTCTCACCACAGACTCAAAATGGCCGCACAGCCCCCACTTCCTCCTCCACCTCCTCCTCCCCTCCCTCCCCTGCCTCCCCCACCTCCCTGAGTCAGGGTGCCAAAGGCATCAGAACCATCCACACTCCGGGCCTCACCAGCTACAAGGCCCAGAATGGAAGCTCGAGCAAGGCCTCTCCAGCCTCAGCCAAGGAAACCTCTTCAAGGCCAGAGCCAGTTGGTTAGGTACCAAGGTGGAGTTACATTTTCAGAAAACACTATTATTTGTTTCTTTTTTAGCAGTCAACAACAACTGTTTTCACAAGAGAATGTAACATATTGCTGTACTGTTTAAGGCTTAATGCAAAGTGTGTACTTAAATACTGGGTTGATAGAGTTCAGTAAAGCTCATTTTGATTTTGTTTTTCCTTGTTGCTGTTGTAACTACGTAGTGTTTGCTGTCTTGATTTTAATACCTACCAAATGAAGTAAGCATGTGCTCCAAAAAGAGAAAGAGAGAGAGAAAGAGAGAGAGAGAGCTTGCGCCAAGGGGTGGGTGTGTGAGACCAGAAAATTGTATTAAGCATGTAAAACATGTATGATTCCAGAATTTTAGTATGTTTTGTATAAAAATATTTTTCACTACGGAGTCTAGAAGTGAACAGAGAAATATGTAAGCGCGACTATATAAATTGTAAAACAGATACTATAATATTTCCTTTTATTTTCATGTTATTTAGCTTTATTACAGATTTCTATTTTTGTCAAAACTTCATGGTTCCTTTCAAGATCTTTTTTGCCAAAACATTTTGATACTATATAGCATTGTACATTTGAAAGTAGTGGTCTAGACTATAAGCCAATGATGATCTTCACAAACCAATAGAAAAGCACATGTCAGAAGCAACTATTGCCCTGTCATGAATGTATGTATACTAATTTGCCAGCCCAAGCAAGCTAGTTTTCTTTCCTTTTTTTTTTTCTTTTAACATTTTGAGGTTTTCTACTTGTTTTCCTTGTGGAATCTAACCCTTTCCTTTGTTTTCTGAGACCCAATATCCCACACTATTGCACTAAATGTCGATTTTAAAAATGTACACCTCTGTACGGTTCTGCAAATGGCTCAACTTTTGTAAATATATAAATAGAGATTTAAAAGAAATACTGTATGTGACAGCACATAGAGTAGTTTTTCCCACACCAAAGTTAATTGGTATGCATGCTTTAAAAAGAATATAGATTGGGATGGGCAGAAATGAGACTATCCATACTTTTTTCTTAAGCACCAAGTGAGCACAGCTAGAGTGTTTTTGTAAATAAATGTATTTGTATAATGCAGTCATGTAAAAATACCGAACTATGAGCAGAGACTTTGCAAGACTAAATAAAGGGCTGCATGCTTCTTTTTTTTTCTTTTTTTTTCTTTTCTTTCTTTCTTTCTTTTTTTTTTTTTTTTTTTTGTACCTTGCTGCTATACTTCCTAGTCAAAGAACACCATGTAATCATTTCCAAATGTTTCTGGCTTTGAGAGCATTAGAATGACATTGTAACAGTGCTCAGAAGACAACTTTTCTAAAAGCTCTGGGGTAGCTAATGAGGAGCTCCTAATAAATTAATTGCAAGTGTGGTTCCTTGGATGTCATTTGCTGGCTCTCTTCTCTGTGGCTCCTCAAGGTTTGGTTAGTTTTTTTAAAAGCCTGGATATCAAGTTTTTTCCTCTCTCTTCTCAAATTTCCAGTGAAAATAGAAATAAAATGTCTTTACCACTTGGATTTTTTTTTTGGAGTTCTCACTTTAAAATAGATACAGGGGTGTGTGTGTGTATATATATATATATATATATATATATATATATTATGTGTATATTTGATCTCCAGGGAAATATACTAGCTAACATTGCAGCATATGGTTTCATTCAAAAATAATGGGAGAAAAGTGAGTGAAAATACCAAGCATCATCTCAGGAACCTCCAGAAATATTTAGCTTGTTGGTTTCCATAAAGCACAAATAGTCTTTCCCTTCTGGAACCTGGTTGCTTATTCCCAGGCTTCAGACTGGCTAAATTGGGATGGCTTTGCCCTAAATGCTTTCTGATGTCTCCTTGCAAGATAGGGAGCCTTTTCTTCTTCCAGGGGCCACTTGGATCTTTAATATCACTCATGGCCCGTGAAGAATCTCAGTGCAGGCAGATGGCCAATGGGAAGTACACATCTGCCCTGTCATGTACCAAATGGCCTGAGGTATAGATGATTCCCAACCTGCATGGTGACCCCTCATCAGACAGAGCCCAGGGAAGTGTTCAGCAATAAAAACTCAAATATTTCAACATGTCCCTTACTTAATCTCCACAGATGCATTGCTTACATATGCAATATAGAGATGAGCTAGCTACTGTATCCATCCTATACATAACAGCAAGCTACTATAGAATACATGTAAATGTCAGCTAACTCTTGCCCGTTTATCAGCTCCTGGATACAATGAGGACCAAGGTGAGACTCCTCACTAAGCTGCTGAACAGTCCACCATGGCCCATGCTTGCAGTGTGACTTCAGACATCCCAGTGCTCTGCCAGGCACACAGCCGATGGTCCATTTCAGCCAGTGTAATTCGGGATAGAGCATGCTCACCAACCAAGGGACAGGTCAGCCCAGATCAATCCACTAGTGCCTCCCCGCCCCCCCAAATCCAGCCAGTCGCTGCCAGGCTCCCTCCTTGGGAAAATGAAGGAGAAACTTGTGTGAGAAGAGCCCTCTTCCTGTCTCTACACCCACCTCTTAGGGGGTGGCATAACGTGTTTGAAACCCAGCCATGCCCAGTCACCTGTGGCCAAGGTGGAACTTCCCTTCTTCCCCTGCAGTCTAGCCCACACACTTCTTACCTCTCGCCTCCCACCAGCACACGCCCCAGCTGCTGCTCATGATGAAGCCCAACCGTCAACACCTGAGACCTGTAAAGAAGCGAATCCTTTGCAGGCCTTTGCTTTAGCCAATCCACACCCCCTTCCCCCCGCCCCGCCCCCAGGGCAGTTGCCCCTGGACTTTAATAAAGGCAAGACCTGTCTCCTCCCCCACCCCAGCCCCGCTCCTCCTCCTCGCCAGCTCGGCACCCATTGCACCCACTAGTGAAGCCCTTGGCTGCCTCCAGACTCAAGCAGCAGTTCCCCTCTCCCGGCTTCTCTGCACTCTGTAAGTAGTGAATTTATTTTGTTTCATGACTTTTGGGTTTACATCTCCATGTTGTACGCACCTGGCACACCGGGACCTACCTGTTCCCTCTCTAGTCCCGGCTCTCCTAGAGAGTGGCCCTTTGGGGTATGGTTGTTATCAGTAGGGAAATGTAGAGATCAAACGATGAAAGTAAACAGCACAACGGTACCTCAGGGACCTGAACTTTGGAAGTGAGTGATGTGGGAGGAGTCACAGTGTCCTCTGATTTTGTTGAGCTGCTCACAGATTTCCACATTCAAGTAGTAAGTCTGTATTGGAAAAAGAAAAACAAAAAGGTTCTTGGAAATCTAGGTGGGGGGGGGGGGCAGTGTAGCTTTTCACATTCATTCCACAAGTGTGACTGCTGGCTGGGGTTTAGTGCGTGTCTGCGTGGGGCAGGCTGCTGGTGCGGCGTGTGACAGGTCAGTACTACCTGTCTCAGTGTTGGGCATCTTGGAGCATGTAACAGTTTCCCCATTTGTTAATGGAGAACAACAAGAGAGCCCGTCTTGTGGGCTTGTTGGATTAAGTAGGCACACAGAATCGTTACAGCAGGGCCTAACACATTAGTTTACTGTTGTCACAGTAATGATGACAATGACTAATGATGACAATGACAAGCTTGTAACTCTCAGAGGCTTCTGGTCTTGAGGAAGGAGAAGAGCAAGCTACATAGGAGACAGGTAGACGCCTAGAGCCTGGATCTTTTCTCTAGTGTCTCAGGATGGCATTCGGCCCAGATGGGTATAATAGAGAACTTTAATATTGGAGCTGCTTCCCCCATGACTCCAATTCTTTTCGATGGAAAAAGAAACATGGACACAGTCTTGCAGCAAAATCAAGACCACCCTGGGAATCTTGGCTACAAAAACAGACCCTGCTGAGAAGTTGCGTTCTCGGGCTGGGAGAGGGGGTGCCAGCCCCCTTCCCTCCGAGATTCGCCCATCTCCATGAGGGGCATGACTCAAGAGGACAGGGGGGTTCACACACAGGGCTCTGCCTCTACCCACCATCCTCGCCCTCTGTCAGATTCCTGGGCTAACCCAGTCCCGCCCTGTCATTCTAACCAACCCCAGCCCTCCGTGCTTTGTAAATGCAAAGGCATTTCAGCAACCGGGGAGCTTGGAGGAAGCACCCCCAGTTCAGAAGGTAGGCTTGCACAAAATAACCAGTGGACACGGCAGGGAGAATGCCCCACTGGACACAGCAGCTGTGTGCAGTCCCCGCCCAGCGCGCCTGAGGTTGCATGCAGAAGCAAAGGAAAGGAAGGAAGGAAAAGACTCAGTGCTCCCCTAGCTGCTCCAGCCTTAAAGACAACTCACCCATCCGTGTGACCCAGATGAGAAGGTAGGTTAAATTACACTCCACACACTTCCCATAAAGCCAGGAGAGCTTCCAGGCACACTTCAGATTTGTATAACACACTTAGTGTGAATTCCTCACTCCTGGGAATGTAAATAACACCAGCAATTGCAGCCGCCTGTTACTTGTTAAGAGGCAGGTGGGCCGAATTCATCCATTCCTTGCTCACTGGCACAAACAGGTACCTCCCCCTTAGCCTGGCCACGCAGCAGCCATCATTCTGTTGTACCTTCGTGCACCTGCTAGGGTGCAATGGGTAAGCTGCTTCCCAAGTGTCTCCTAAAAGGGGGTTCGTGAGACCTTGGCTTCCTGGACAGGGGCTTGTGAAGGCAAACTCAGGCCTTTGAGCTGGGAGACATTAGCCTTGCTCGTCTCCGGTTTTGTACGTGTGAGAGAAAGTTCTTGGTGCTGTCTCCTATCCACATAAGACTATGAAGCCCCAGCAGTAACATCGCAGGGCGTTCATGCCATGCACACCAAAAGAATTCAGAGGAGTCCTGAGGACTCAAAAACACTGCCAACTTCGACGTGCCTTTTCCTAGCTAGTGGATGGTTCTGTTTAAAGCTTCCAACAAATCAAAAGCTCAATTCTCCCCCAAGCTCACACATCCCTGGAATGTTGGGTGCATGTTTCAAGAAAGTACTATGTAACAAAAGCCTTAAAGTGGACTTGGCCTCTGGGCTCTGGAAAGTATACGCAGTTGATTCCATAAACTCTAAGCGAGTTGCAAGCAAGGTTTCCGTTCCGCAGGGTTCTCCTAGGCAGGCACCTACCATCCCTGGCAGACTCCCACTGAATCCTTTGCTGCAGAGACCGAGAGCCCCTGGCCTAGAGCAGCGCCCCTGGCCTTCACTGTTGGGAGGACAGAGGCCCTCCAGGGGCATCCAGACCCAGCCCTACGGAACAGCCACTAGACTCAGACTCCAGGGACATGGTGGGGCTGAAGTGTGCCTTAATGTCTTTAGACGGTTCCTGAGGCTTCTTCAGGAAGCCACCATTAGGCCCTTGGCACTTGTGCTGGCTGGAGGAGGGGGGATGGGATAACAAGGTCCTGCTTCTAAGCACTGAGGAGGGGGATGGGGGGGAGGGAAGAAGCGGAAAGGTGAGCAGGAGTTCTGGGCATGGCCAGTGACTCAGACAGTCAGACCCAGGACTCCTGGAACCACGGGCTCCTGGATCATCTGATAGGCACAGGTGGAGAATAGTAGGACATGCCGGAGGCCCCCTCTCCCTGCCCACCCCCATTCAAACGAACAACCTCCCATTAGGATGCCTAGGTCCAGCGCCATCTTCTCTAGGGCCCTGCAGCCTGCCACCACCTGCTTTGGGGATAATGTGGCCTCACCAGGCCCATGGGTACTCAGTCCTGGGGCTAGGGGGCGGGGCATGCTGCCACCTGCCCAGGTGGTGAGGAGCTGGGAGCCACGGGCTGAGTCCAGAAAATGCCGACTAAAAGCGAAAGGTGACCATTGCCACCCACCAGCCCGGACACATGAAGGGCACGGCTCAGACGCCATTTCTGGGGTTTGTTTCCAAGCCTTGCATTTGTGTTTTAAGAAGTCAGCATTGCCCAGTGCTTGTAATCCTAGCTACTCAGGAGGCTGAGATTGAGGATGGCTATTCAAAGCCAGCTTGGGCAGGAAAGTCTCTGAGACTCTTAATCTCCAATTAACCAAAAGTGGAGCTGAGGCTCAAGTGGCAGAACACTAGCCTTGAACAAAAACAGCTAAGGAATAACATCCAGGCCCTGAGTTCAAGTCCCCATAACACACACACACACACACACACACAGCCAGCCTTTACAGGCACTGATTGGCCTGGATGCCATATTTTTTTTAAGGTTTATTCCAAAGAGATTCACTGCTCCATATCACTTCCTTATTAGAGATTTTTATTACAAAGGTGATGTGCAGAGGGGTTGCAGTTACATAAGTCAGGTGATGAGCACATTTCTTTCTGGACAATGTGAAACACAGGTGGTATTGCTCATTTTCCAGTGTCCAGTGAGCGCGGCCGCTGCATCCGTTCACCCTTTCTCCCTCCACTTTGGCCTAGATATTAACACATGG